TATATATATATATATATATATATATATATATATATATATATATATATATATATATATATATATATATATATATATATATATATATATATATATATATATATATATATATATATATATATATATATATATATATATATATATATATATATATATATATATATATATATATATATATATATATATATATATATATATATATATATATATATATATATATATATATATATATATATATATATATTATTTATTAATATTTTTCAACGTTCGTAAAGTGATATTTTTTCAATGGAATTATTAATGGAATTATAGGAATTGCTGAATAATGTTGCTCCTTTTATAAATATGCAGCAAAATGTTAACATTAATATTACTAAAAAATTAATGTTTACCATCTGGGTGTTAGCAAAGCCAGAGAGTTTTTTAGCTGCCAGTGACAGATTTGGTTTGCCGAAGAGCACAGGGCATAAAATATTTAGAAACATTACACATTCTCTGGTACAATTAATGCCTCAGTACATAAAATGGCCAAATGCAGCACAAAAGCAATTATCTTGTAATGTATGTTTCTTAATTAAATGCTTCTGTGTACATGTGTATGTTAATGCAATTGATTAAAATTGTTATTTTTTAAGATATTATTCCTAAATTCTAGATATTTGAGGCTCGATCACGTGGATTCCCGGGAGTAATTGGTGCTATAGATGGTTGTCACATTCCTTGCAAACAACCGATAGGGAATGCAAATGATTTTTATAATAGAAAAAGTTTCCATTCAATTATATTACAAGGTAAATTTTGTATATATACAAATAACTTTTGACTTTAATATTTTAAATGCAATATTTTAAAATTAAAAAATGTTAATATTTATTATAGGGGTATGCGACCATAGAGGATTATTTATTGATTGTTTCATTGGTATGCCGGGTCGCATGCATGATGCACGAGTATTTCGAAATAGTCCGTTATTTCACCAAATATCAAATGCAGAAAGACCTCTAATTCCAGAGAATATGCACTTAATAGGAGATTCTGCATACCCTTTATTATATAATGTAATGACACCAGTTAGAGATAATGGGCATTTAACATTTTCTCAAAGAGTATACAATACAAAATTAAGTTCCATAAGATCGATTATTGAAAGGGCATTTGGATTATTAAAAAATAAATTTAGAAGGTTAAAATATTTAGATATTTCGGATTTTAATTTGGGAAATGATATGATAGCAGCAGCATGCGTATTGCATAATTTTATAATAATTCATGATGGCATAAATGTGGAAGAGGAAGATGATTTTTTTAACGAAGCAAATATAGAAATTGATGATATTGTACATGAGGAAGGTTTGCAAGCTGTACAAAAACGTACACAAATTATAGAATTATTTTAAATACATATATATTTAATACATAAATGTACATATGTATTGTACAAAATAAATATGTTTTATTAAAATATAAACCAAATACATGTTCATATATATTTCCTTGAAACATGTATGTAACTTTATATATATATTTTATATATAAAATAATTTAATATATATATATTTTATATATGAAACAACAGAACATTTTATATCTCTTAGTTTTCTTTGCATATATTATTATATTTCTATACTTGAACACAAGTGTTTACTGTTTTGCGTGCGATACTAAATTCCGCAAAATATCATTTCTTTCACGTTGTATTTTATTATGTTCTTCTATAGTCTCAGTTAATTTATTTATCGCTTCCACTCTTTTTTCTTCACAGTCTAATAATTTTTTTCGTAAATCGTACATAACTTTTGATTTGGCAGCTTTTTGTGTTTTAGTCTTCATGTTATCCTGGCTCGATGTATCATTACTCGTACTATCGTAACATACTAACTGCTGCCTAAGAATTGTACTTTTAATAGAGTATTTCTTTTTACCATAATCATAGTTAACTGTACCAAAATTTAATCGCGCACAATTTTGAAGCCAATCAAAAACATATAAATTACCTTGCACAAACGTTTTTACACACCTGTTTGACTGTTCGTTTTCTGTGATTTGTTCAGCAAATTCCATTTCTGAGCAAGCAGAACTTATATTTTGATCTCCGCAAGTCGACGTAGATGGGGTCAAACTGTTATGTTCCTCATTAACTGCGTTGTTATTTATTGCCATAGAAGATATTGTTGGACCTATGTGTACAGTACGATCTTCTCTATATATTTCTTCCATGAGGTCGTACCATTCCCAATTAATACGTCCACGACCAGTACTCGTTTTTTTATTATTGTCTAAAATATTCCTATAAGATTTTTTTAAGTTTCGCATCTTGCGGTCCAGAGTGTCTTCGTTAACAATATAATTATTTTTTTCGAATTCATCAACAATTTCTGTCCATAAGAGCTTTTTTTAATTTTTGGATCACGAAATTTAGTTTTTCTTTCATGATACTTTTCTAAAAGAAGCTTGGTACTTTGCCTCGTCCAACTGAATGATTCTATTATGGGATCTGCACCATAAAAATATTTTATTTCGTATATATAATTAAAATATGTGTGTGTAAATCGTTATGAGTATATGGTATATACATACCATTATTTTCTTTCTCCATCACACCTACTACTTCACTTGAAGTTATATTGGTGGCGAAATATTTATTAAAAAATTCGGGATCTGTGAATAACCAAATATTATATATATATA